TTAACTGGATTATTCGTCTCAATTAATGCGGATATATTTTGTTTTGTATGTTACCGGTAGTGGTATTACGTTTAATATTTCATATAGCGGGAAAGTGTAATCAATGGGAAAATGTAGGATTGTGTATACGTTTGTTTTGTCGCAGTGCGCGCTCATTGTCGTTACTTTTTTCTATTGTCTGCCAATCCTCTTCCCTTATTTTAAATGGGAAATATGCTCCTTGTGGTATTTGTGTGATTGCTTCTTTAAGATTTTTTATTATTTCTTCTAACGGTATTAGTCGTGGGTGTAATGTTCCACTTTTTTATCGCCGTTAGGTATTCTAGCGTGTCTTCCGCGTTTTGTGTCACTGCTGCAAGTATTGCGTTAGTGATTATAAAATGTTCTTTTATGTTTTCGTTACTTATTTCTGTTGTTAGCGTCATTTCTAATTTTTTGATTGCATTAGCTAAAATGTTTTCGTTATTCTGAATTATTTCTTCGTGGTTACTTATGTGCGCTATTGTCGCGTTTATAATCTTGATTTGGTTCTTTATTATGTGCTCTGTCGTTTTTTGTTTGTTGTCTAGGATACTTAGTTGCTCATTGATTAATTTTCTATCTTCATTGTCCATTGTTTCAAATAATGTTTTGGCAATAGTTCCTATTCTATCTATTAGTCCTTGTTTCGTTTTTGTCTCTTGTGCTTTATACAGAGCGTTTATTCTTTTTATTAAGTGTTTTAACCGCTGATAATTGTTTTCAATGATGATATTATAGTTTTGACATGACCCCTTGTTTGTGAGGTGTAACATTGTGCATATATTTTGCGTTTTTTGAATGTATTCTTCTATTTGTTCTGTTCGCTTTTCAATTGGCGAAATATCTATTTTTATAATTATCTTCCAGAATGACTCGATGTTCAGTTTTCCTATTTCCTCGAAGTATATTCCGGGGTGATGCTCGAAGTTTTCTACTTCGAATGGTAGTTTTTTCTCTTCTTCTCCATTGGTCATCCATATCTTTATTCTGCAAAAATAAAAATTCTTATTTCTACTGAAAATTTGTCGATGCTCGAATTCGGCGTTTTTTCTTTTTTATCCTGTTCCCAGGTGTAATATTACTTTATTCTGAATTTGTTATCTTAGTTAAATGATTCTCCTGTGAGTCTGTTGAGTTTGCTTTTTTACGGCGTATATCGTTTCTCTTGATGTCTTATTATTATTATATCGGTGTGATCCTTCTAATATTTCATTTTTGCGATGAGCTCTCTGGCTGCATTTCGTCAGTTGTCGAAGTGTCTTCCTTGTGTTAACATAATGGGTCATAACGCTAATTTTAATCGTGCTCCGCCAATTTTTAATGACGATGCCGCGGCGGAAGCCTCGTCTGGTGACGAGGGCTTCGATATTGAAGTCGACGATAGTGACGTCGATGAATTCATGGACCATCCCGACGCCCAGGCCCATTTCCGTCGTGTGCGCGAGTGGTTGATGATCGTCAATCACTTCTATAGTAATGGTGTGTTCCATGTGTGTGGCGATTGTATATGGTTCG